GGCCCCACGTGTGCCAGCCTGCAAGGGGGCCCCCATTGGCGCGGAGCGGGGCTGGGTTGGGGGGGCCCACAGACTACTGTAGCCTAGGGGCCTCTGTACACCTTAATCCGCCCCTGCTTATATCGCTAATAAGTGCTGGCAAGTTTCACAAAGATAATTCCATCTGCTCTCTCTCTTCTTCAGCAATTCTGCGTTACTTCCATGTTAGTGCTGGTGTTCTGACAAAACGTCCTACTTTATCAAAACATCCTACCGTAGTGCTAATCGATAGCCCTAACCCTAACCCTAACTCTTACCCTAACCCTAACCCTAATCCCCCAAAAACCCCTAAAACTCTTACCTTAACCCTAACCCTAACCCCTAAAACCTAACCCTAATCCCAAGACGGTAGAACTGCACACGCGCAGAAAGGCTCGATAGCACGTCTCGATAGGTAGGATGTTTTGTCAGAACACCGGTGCTTGTGGTAATCACTGTAAGCACCTCTAAAGTAGTGATTCCGAGGAACTGCAATCGGACTGAGTTCTGATGATTTCACTCACACACACACTGTTGGAGTCACCCGCTCCACCGAGTCCGTTGATGAGAAAATGATGATTTCCAGGAGGCGTGATATATGTAGTGAAATGATACTTTATTGATGACGTCTTACAGATCGATCAGGGAACCAACCTCTTAGCTCACTGCTCAAGCTGGCGAGTTCAGAGGAGTTCAAAGTTCTCTTCCGCTAAGCACACTTTTACACTATGTTTAAGAGGTTGACTCCCCTTTCAGTATTTTTCCACTTCTGCGTTAGTTGCTTCTCTGCAAGCAAGTTGGCTACCCCCCCTTCTTCTGATAGAAAAGCAGAACTACCCCCCTATATTCTATGATTATAATAAAAAGTAGACTTACCCCCCTCTATTCTGATAAAAGCAGTCTTACACCCCCCTTATTATAAGAACTCTGCAAACATGTAAACCCACAATCAGACAGACGTTTCCTGTTATTTTAGCCAGCTCTAAATACAGTAGCATACATATATTCTAGCTCACGCCGTCTGCATCTTCACGCACCCCGTGACCTTCTGACCTCCCCACTTGTCTCTGTTATTTTCCATCTCCCACAACACACACACCAATTCTCACGCTCTCTCTGGGTTTTTCACATGATATACAGTACCACGATGTGGTCAGCCACTATATGGGGGAATATATAATGGGCATGTTTGTAAGTCATACTAGTGTGTCTACTTATAAATTGTTTTTTTT